TAAAACGGGGAAGAGGTCGAGAGCTCCAGGGGCACGGGTCAAGGACCCAAACACACAGAACATTACGTCGACGATTTTTGCGTGCACCTGCACACCAGGCTCGCGCACGCAATCGTCGCCCACGAGCTCAGACGCCAAACGGCGAACACAAGATGCCAATCAGACTCTTCATATTCGGAGCTCACCCCTACCTATGTATAGTGTGGTTGGCACGCACACGCACAGACTGATTACTGAGAATCCAAGTGCATTCCAAAATCCTCGTGTGAACATCGCCCAGCACTCCTAGAACGGGATGGCGGTGACGCATGTAAGCCCTGCCACTGGGGCCTTCGGCCACTGGGGCCTTCCGTGGAGCTCCCCATGTGGGGCCACGAACAGTGTGAGGGTTGTGCCTAAATGGGTGGCGGTGACGCATGTCAACCCTGCCCCTGGGGCCTTCGGCAGCTGGAGCCTTCGGTAAAGCTCCCTATGGGGCGACGAACCGTGTGAGGGGTGCGCCGAAGTGGGTGGCGCTGACGCATGCAACCGCTGCCACTGGAGCCTTCGGTGGAGCTCCCTGTGGGGCCACGAGCCGTGTGAGGGGTGTGCGAAAATGGGCGGCGCAAACGCATGCAACCGCTGCCATTGGAGCCTTCGGTGGAGCTCCCTGTGGGGCCGCGAACCGTGTGAGGGGTATGCCGAAATGGGTGGCGTTGACGCATTCAACCGCTGCCACTGGAGCCTTCGGTGGAGCTCCCTGTGGGGCCACGAATCGTTTGAGGGGTGTGCCTACATGGGTGGCGGTGACGCATGTCAACCGCTGCCCCTGGGGCCTTCGGTGCAGCTCCCTATGGGGCCCCGAACCGTGTGAGGGGTATGCCGAAATGGGTGGCGTTGACGCATTCAACCGCTGCCACTGGAGCCTTCGGTGGAGCTCCCTGTGGGACCACGAATCGTTTGAGGGGTGTGCCTACATGGGTGGCGGTGACGCATGTCAACCGCTGCCCCTGGGGCCTTCGGTGCAGCTCCCTATGGGGCCCCGAACCGTGTGAGGGGTATGCCGAAATGGGTGGCGTTGACGCATTCAACCGCTGCCACTGGAGCCTTCGGTGGAGCTCCCTGTGGGACCACGAATCGTTTGAGGGGTGTGCCTACATGGGTGGCGGTGACGCATGTCAACCGCTGCCCCTGGGGCCTTCGGTGCAGCTCCCTATGGGGCCCCGAACCGTGTGAGGGGTATGCCGGAATGGGTGGCGTTGACGCATTCAACCGTTGCCACTGGAGCCTTCGGTGGAGCTCCCTGTGGGACCACGAATCGTTTGAGGGGTGTGCGAAAATGGGCGGCGCAAACGCATGCAACCGCTGCCACTGGAGCCTTCGGTGGAGCTCCCTGTTGGGCCACGAATCGTTTGAGGGGTGTGCCTACATAGGTGGCGGTGGCGCATGCCAACCGCTGCCCCTGGGGCCTTCGGTGCAGCTCCCTATGGGGCCGTGCAAGGGGCGTGCCGAAATGGGTGTCGTTGACGCGTCCAACTTGCCACTGGAGCCTTCGGTGGAGCTCCCTGTTGGGCCACGAGCCGTGTGAGGGGTGTGCTGCCGCTGGAGCCTTCGGTGGAGCTCCCTGTGGGGCCACGAGCCGTGTGAGGAGTGTGCCTACATGGATGGCGCTGACGCACACAACCGCTGCCGCTGGAGCCTTCAGTGGAGCTCCCTGTTGGGCCACGAACCGTGCGAGGGGTGTGCCGAAATCCGTGGACCTGCGGTGATGACAATGAACGATGACAAAGGCAGGGATGGGAGGAGGGAGAGGTGGAGTTGTTGTCCTCGTCCTGGCTTCGTCGTGCTGCTCTTCTGCGCCTGCGGCGGCCCGCTCCACGGGGGGGCGGGAGGCGGAGGCTGTCGGCGCCTGGCCGAGGGCAAGCCCGGACCGTGTGCTGTTGGGGTGGGGGCGGCCCGCGCGCCGCCCCGGACCTAGACATGCTCGCGTCGTGGATACACATGTTTAGGTTTCGACGAGAATTTCGATGCTAGGGTGCGTGAACCCTGCAGTCGATCTCCTGTTCGGCGGGACTTACGGCAGGAGGTCTTTTTGTGGTCGTGTTCGCCCCCTTGGGGCCCTCGCCGGGCCCTGGGACCGTCCGAGAAGAGCGCTGGATGAACAAGCGCGGTCCCGGAGACAGGGGGCCCCGCCTTGAAAGTACCTGGGCGTCGCTCGTCTGGGGTACGTTCCAGGCTCAGAGATCTGCGACCACTTGCGAGCCCTACCCCTGCGGATTGAGTCGGCTCTGGGGTATTGGACGCCGTTGCGGCTCGTGGCACGTTTCGGCGCTTGGTCTGGGTGGCGTCTAAAAAGAGTCTGAGTCGTTCAAACATCCATGTGAACATGTGGGCGAGGATCGCGCTCGTTCGTCCAGTGGAGATTTGTGGCCGTTTCTGGACTCTGGCCGGGGGTGGCGGCCAGAAAGGAGCGGAAGGGAGGAAGGGGAGAAGGGAGGTGGAGGAGGGAGGCAGGTGGTTGAGGAACATTCGGAATCGGCAGATATGCGCCACCGTCATCCCCGGCCGGTGCCATCCTGGGCCCTGGGATTGCTCCAGACGCCTTCTGGCCTCGAGCAGTAGGTGCATATGGTGAGAAGCTTTGGCTGAAGTAGCGTGTCGCGCCGCCAGCTCTGGCGCACCACGCTTAGGCGCAGCACGCTGTCCACGCCCCGGCCCCCAATCGGAGGTGGATAGACCTCCTACCCTGACACGTCGATGCAGGAATTGGCCGATTCCGCTTCGCGAGAGGGCGCCGCGGCCGTCGTTTTTGCGGGTCCAGGCCCGTCGGCTTGGGTCCCAGGCCGTCTTCACTAAGGGGAGGTTTACCGAAGGGAGGCTTGTCCACGTCCCGGCCCCCAGGCCGTGAGCGTCCCGAGCCCATTTCGAGCCCGCCGCCCCGCGGAGCGGCGCGCGCGACACGCTAATTGCCCGCTTCGGAGGTGCAGGGGCTTGTTGCCGGCGCCGCGGCCGCGGCGTGTTAAACGAGAGTGCCCGACCGCAGAAACCGTCCCAGGGCCCAGGATCGGGGGAGCGTAAGCCGTACTCATACCGCTGCTCCCCGGACCTCTCCCAGGGTGCGCTCGCACCAAGATCTCGAGGCGAGTCCAGCGGTGACCAGGCGAGCCTCCCAGCAGGCCCAACTCGGGTCGGGCGAAAGGGGGGGATAGCAAAGGGGGGGGTGAGAATCAGCTCACGTAGCTGATTTTCCCGGCGCCTCCCGGCGCCGGAGGCGCCATGTATCGAGGAATGGGCCCCTCGGTGGGCCGAAACCAGCTGCATGCAGCAGATTTCGTAACCCCCCCTTTCCCAAACCCCCCCTTTCGCCCGACCCGAGTAAGACCCGGGTTTGCCAGGACTCGGGTTCGCCATCGTTTTTTGACGACCGCGATTCGGATTCTGACGAGTAGGAGTTTCGTGGGACGTCTGCCGCGGGAGGCCTCGTCAAAATGCAGGCTCGGCCTCGTCATTTTTTTGACGACCTCGTCGGGGATTTCCGAGTCCCCTGTACCCGGGTCTTACGCCCCCCTGACAGGATGGCCCTGGCGAGGGATGCCATATAGTGATGTGCAGCTGACCTCTGTGGATAGTCGCTCTTCTCGCGGCACGGGCAGTATGTGCGACGTGGGCGCGATGCCTATAGTGATGTGCAGCTGACCTCTGTGGATAGTCGCTCTTCTCGCGGCACGGGCAGTACGTGCGACGTGGGCGCGCGCGCGCGTGCGCGCGCCCAGCTCGGGGACGGGGCGCGTGTAGCGCAGGCGAGTTGTCGCCTCCTGTCCCCGAGCTCCACCTCAGGACATTCTAGGCCTTCCAACTGGCATCCTGTAGACGGTATCCGAGGATCGCGACGCATCGCCGACATGTCGACGATGTGGCCCGATGTGGGGCCATAGTTCCTCAACGCCGATGGCGCCGACGCACCGCCGCCGTCGCCGATGCATCGGCGATGCGGCGCGATCCTCGGACCCCACCCAGGGAGCCTCTGGAAGTGACGGGGGCCTCGGGGATGCACTCCATCGGGGGGGCCATTCGCACGCACCCACCCTCGAGGACGGACACACCCACCATCGTGTATATCCCCGAGCTGGGCCGACGATGCTGTCCGTGCGAAAGTTCCACAGGGTCGAGAAGTAGGGCCGTCGCGCCCCCGGCCAACATTCCCGTCCACGACCGATCGGTCCGGACTCCTCCGCCGCGGCCCCCGCAGACGCGGCACGGGCCTGCGTGGGCGCACCGCGCGGATCGTATCCATGTGGTCGCGGCTCGGCGTCCAGACGTGGCCCCGCTCACAAGGGGGTGGCGCGAGGGGCCCGCCTTGCAGGAGGGCCAGGGGCCTCTTGGAAGGCACGGCGCATCTCAGAGGGCCCCGTTGGCCGCTGAGAGGGCGCCTCGGGAGCCAGGAGTCGGCGTCACCCCAACATACTTATACCGTATGTGCGTCGCCCCCATCAGGGGCGACGCGCGCACCGAGAAACCTCATAGTATGTGCGTCGTGGCGGGCGCTTTCTGGCCACACCGCTCGGGAAACAATCTATTACAAGATGGGTATACTAATGTTCGGGTCGGACGCGCGCCTCCAAGGAGGACGCATAGTATTGGTATGCCCCTGTGCGTCCCAAGGAGGGCCTCCGAGAATACCCCCCCCCCAAGCCTTCTCGGAAGCTCCCCGCCTTCTGGAGCGCGGCCTCCCCGCGCACCGCCACCCCCTCTGGGTGCGCGCCGCCGACGGACCGCGGGGGCATGATTCATGTGGACATGCGCTCGGTTGCGCCCGTGCGTACGCAGCCCAGGCCCCCGATGCCATGTAGGGCGTGCTAAACAAAAAAGGCCTTGCCTTCGAGGATCGAAGGAGTTGTTATCTCGTCTGCCGCCGAACGGCGGCGGAAGGGCGGCCGAAGCAGAACGTCGCCGGCGGAAGCCGGCGGAAGGCCGGCGGAAGGGGGCGGAAGTGAAAACTGCGCCCCCAAGAGGTGCAAACGTTCTTGGGTTCAGGGTTTCCGAAATCCGCCATGTGAGCGACATCAGAAATCGGGTTCCACTGCGCCGACCTTCTGGGCCCCTTCAGTGTGGACATGTACATGCACCTGGGCGCGCGCGCGCGCGCTCGCGCGCGAGCAGCTGCCCGCGGCGCAGCCCAGGCGACGCAGCTCCCAGCAAGGGCGACGCCAGCGAGCATGCCGCGCGATACGAGGACGCGAGGCCGTGCTACGACCTCTGGCTGCACGACGCCGGGCTCTGCAGGCCACGCAGAGATCCAGCGCGTGGAAAACAAAAATCAAGACGGTGGCTTTGCGCATTCTTCGGCCCCTGAGGGCCCTCGCCGGGCCCCAGGACCCTCAGAAAGCGATTCGGGATGAAAAACTGGTCCTGCGGAAGGGGTCGAGGTTTCCGCGGGCCGCGTACGGAACAAAAAATCACGGCATCGCATCCTTGGGCATGCTCGCCGTGGTGCGCTGATGGCGGGTGAGCGCCGGGGAGCGTCGATGGGCGTCGATTCGCGCTGTGGCCCCGACCTCGCGAGCCGAGCAAGCAGCCAGCGCTAGCGCCATGTCTCGGGGAGCGAGCGGTGCGTTCCCCGAGGCACGGCTCTCCTATCTCGGGGGGCGAGCAGGTCGCTCCCCGATGTGCACTGCTCCCGCCATACCTCGGGGAACGAGCTGTTCGTTCCCTGAGAAATCCGCGCGGACTTCGGATTTTTTTCCTGTTTATGCCATTGTTCGTTCCCCCAATATCTGCCATCGTACCCTGTCTGCTCAGTCCGTCACACTGCGCTGATTCGTTGCCTATCCGCCGACGGATGTCACAGCGGACCCGGGGCCCCCCAACGGGGCCCCATCGTGCGATGCCCAAACGCACGGGGAAGCTGTGGGCACTGGAGGAGGTAAGACGAAGGGGGAAGAGGAGGTGGCGGATGAGCAGGAGGATGAGCAGGAGGGAGAGCAGGCGGATGAGGATAAGGAAGGAGAGGGGGGAGGAGGAGGAGGAGGAGGAGGAGGAGGAGGAGGAGGAGGAGGAGGAGGAGGAGGAGGAGGAGGAGGAGGAGGGGATGAGGAGGGGAGGAGGAGGAGGAGGAGGAGGAGGAGGAGGAGGAGGGCCACGAGGAGGGGGGGCGGGAGGAGTAAAAAAGTACCAGGGGGAAGGCGGCGGCGGGGAAGGGGAGGGGGCGGCAACGACGAGGGAGGGACGCGCATGCGAGCATTTCGGCCCACGCTGGGGCTGGACCTAAAGGGTGTTTTTGGCGATCTCGTGGGCCGTTTTTCGTTTCGACTGCGTTTTGCGGTAAATCAAGGGCATAAAAGACGGCCCTACCCTGGTTTACGAGGCGTTGTGCGCTGAAACTCCTGTGGGCTGACAGGGTAACACCTGCGTGATGTGCCGCGTCCTGGCGGCTCTAGGCTCTGGGGGCTCCCAGGAGGTTTACAGACCACGCACTTGAAACCCAGGGTAGGGTCGTTTTTTCATCCCTCAAGTAAAGGCGGATTGAAGACAAAACGAGGGAAACCGAAAATACAACGAAAACGGAAAACACCGTTCAGTCTCAGCCCTGGCCCACGCTGGGGCGAGAGCGCCATGCCGAACGACGCGAGCCCAGGGCCGATCCTGAAGCGAGGCCGGCGCTGCAGCGGCAGCACCACTCTCCCAAAGCAGCGCTTGCATTGCTCCAGTCATTGGGCGGGGCACCCCATAGCACTGAAACAGTGGACTTCGATGTTCGTTTCGGGGACCTTCCTGGAGCCCACCTAACGGATCTGTTCGACCCCAGTTCGACTCAAGTTCGACTCAAGTTCGACTCAAGTTCGACTCAAGTTCGACTCAAGTTCGACTCAGGGTCGCTTCAGGTTCGACTCAGGTTCGACTCAGGGTCGACCCAAATCGACTGACGTTCGACGCAGCGTCGACGTCCGAGTGGAGCGAGTGGCTCCAGGAAGGTCCCCAGTACGAGCATCCAAGTGGACCATTCCGTAGCACAAGTTCCCTCTGGCATCAATTTCAGACAGTCAGGTGAGTTGGCACGGTAGGAGAGCCCGGCCCGAGGGCTCCAATCGCACGAAATTGCCATACCGTTGGTCCGGCCCGGCACTGGACCGTCGGCGCACGCAGCCAGCCTGGGGAACAGGGGCTTGGCGGCAGGTCGCGGGCGATGGGCGGGCACAGCAGGGGGCCCCGCAGACGGTGGCGCGGGTCCTCTCTCGGGCGTGTCGGCGTCGCCTCTGGCGCCGGGTCCGGGCACGGATCCGCTACGGATCCGATGCGGAGCCGAAGCTTCTTGGACGGATCTTGCGCGAAATCGTTGGGTTCTGGACGGGTCCTAGAGGTGGGAAGTTCACGTGCTTCTCACGGATCCTGTCTGACGATCGTACCGTTGCATAGTATTAACTCAGGGCAGCCGTGGAATCCGAGGACGACTTGCCCAGGGCACGGGGCTAGGCACTTTCTAAAATTGTATTGATGCTCTCCCGGCAGAACTTCCCTCAGGCAGCTCCTTCTAAAATTTTACTGAGTTGCCCCTCTGGGTTCCGACCTTTGGACCGTCGGGCGTTCTGTTCACTGGACCTCGCCGTCGCCAGCGTCGTCGTCGTCGTCGCTGCCGCAACCGCCGTCGCCGTCGCCGTCTGGAGCTTCAGTCGCGCGTCCAGTCCAGGCGCATCGTACCAACTTCACCGGACTGCCTGTAGCAGCTGCGCTGCCGAGCACCCGGACGGACCCGTCGGGGATGCTCCACGCTGCCGCCCCGTGAGCGCTCGTGGACGCCCCGTGCGCGGGGTGGGTCCGCCGAGGTTGCGCCGCGCTGCCGCCCCGTTGCCGCCTCGGGGGCGCCCCCGTGCTCTGGGCGGCACCGCCGAGGGGGTTGCGCGCCGCGCTGCTGCCCGTGCCGCTGCGTGGGCGCTGCGTGGGCGCCCCGCGTGCTGAGCCACCTCGCCCACACCACACGGCGTGCACCGCACAGGCTTACACCGCACAGTCTGCACACCGTGACCTGCTTCTCACAGCTTACGCAGCGTAGCGTTCCTTTCCGGCGAAAAAACATGAAGCGGCATAGCTTGCACCACGTAGCTTGCACCACGTAGCCCTCGCCCCGCCCGTAGTTTACAGCACAAGACTTAGACGGCACAGCTTACACCGCATAGCTTGTACCACTGAGCTTCCGCCTCCACAGTACAATACCGCATTGTTTGAGGTCCACGCTGACCACCAACTTGTTGGTTTGCAAGTGTCCTTTCGGAAAATGCACGCGCGGACATTTCTAGCCAATGCTGAAATCCTTTCCGAAACGAAAGCGGATCCGAAAGATGCGGCGCCCCCCTCGCACATAATCTGGGGAACAGGGGGGTAGTACTCATATTGAGTCACTGTGGAGGGAACGACGACGGCGGTGTGCAGGAGGGGCTGGTTCAAAGGGGGGGTGGGAGGAGGAAAGAGGCAGGGGAGGGCCCTGCCAGGGGGAGGAGAGAAAGTGGACGGGGGGAGCGTGAGGAGCGGAGTAGAGGGGGTGGGATGAGAGGGGAGAGAGGGGGCGGGAGGAGGGGGGAGGGAGGGGTTACGGAGAATGTAGGAGACAGGGAGGAGGGCGGGTGGAGGGAGCAGCAGCAGCAGGAGGAGCCTGCGCCACGCCGGAGGCCCTGCAGCACCATCTTCAAGAAGGCGGGCTGCGTCCGCGGCGACTGTTGCGAGTTCTGCCACTTCCCGCACATGGTTCTGAAGAGAGCACGGCCCTCCAAGGTCTGGGGAGGACCTACACCATGAGCGGAAACTATCGAACGGCATTCGGCCAGTCCCGCCACCGTGCCTGGGTTGTGGGTATATGACTCCTACTGCATGTTCGTTGGTAGCTCGAGGGGGGCCTTTCGGGGGGACCCTTGGAGGCAGTTTTGGGGCCTCTGTGGGGGCGTTTTCGGGGCGGGCCTCTTGGGGCCTTTTGGGCCTCTTGGAGGCCTCTTGGGGACCTGTTGGGGTTCTCTGGGGGCCTCCTGGGGCCCTCTTGGGGCGGAAGACTCGGATTTTCGGTATGTGTTCCCTCTGTTGGGCCTTGTTGGGGTCGTCTTCAGGCCCTCTTGGACGCCTCTTGGGCCGTCTTGGGGTGGTCTCTTGAGCCATCTTGGATCGTCGGAAAGCTGAAAAGGCGAGAACGCCAAAATCTTTCAAACACCCAAGAGAGATCATGGATGTGTGCCTCTTGGGGCCCTCTGGGAGGCATCTTGGAGGCTTCTTGGGGCGTCTTGGAGGCCTCTTGGACTGTCTTGAGGCCGTCTTGGGCGTCTTGTGGGGATCGTCCGGCGACTCGGAGCCCTCTTGGACAGTCTTGGGGGCCTCCTGGGAGCTCTCTTTGCGCGTCCTCGTGCCCTCTTGGGTCCGAGGAAGTCACGCGAGAAGCGGCGGGGAGTGGCAACAAGCCCCGATAGATTTGGCACTTTGGGGTTCGGGCCCCCTAGAGCGACGTAACGATCCAGGAGTGAGGTTTGGAGCTTAGAGGGGAGGGAAGGGCCTGGGGGCACGCCCACTCCGTGCCCACGGGCACGGTGGCGGATATCAAACTACCATGGCCGCCGAAGCTGCGAATCAGATCGAGAGGTCTGCGAAACTGTCGGCAGTGTGCGAGGCCCTGAAAACGCCATCCGCAGGCGCCGATCCGTTTTCACAGCGTACGGTCGGGAACTTTTGGGCAGCATGTCGCTCCGCCAGTTCTTGCCCACCACGCTTCGGCGCCGCACGCGATCAGCTCCCCAGTCCCGAGGCGTCGACGTCGCGAGCTGTTCCCGACCTGCCCCGCGGAGCGGAGCGACACGTTCTCCGTTTGCATGGCAGGGCGTGTCGCCTTGGCCGCCGCGGCGATGCACTGCGCAAAAAAAGGGCCCGACAGTACACAACGAGTCTGCCGCAGGCGTCGGATTTTTCCCCCGTCGAAACCACGCGGGTGGGTCGCGGGTGGATGGCGGGAAAGTCGCGCGGTGGGTCGCGGGGGGGGTCGCGGGGGGGGGGGCGCTGGCGTGTCGCAGGTCGGTCGCGGGCGAGGGCGACGACAACAACAAGCAACTCACGACCAGAATTCGCGTCGCGGAATACCATGTCAGCCACGCGCCCTGGGACTGATCCACATCCGTGATCATTGGATACGTGATCCCATAGGTGCCCTCCTCGCGGGTCATCCGCGCAACACCGCCTTAGTGGCGATGCTTGGGAGTCCAGACCGCCAGGCCATGGATACGGATATGTCTCCCGCCCACAACTAACGCTTTCCAGCACACCGACCCTCATGAAGGCAGACCGCGTCTGGGGTTGTACGATTACGGCGTGTTCATTCGAAGTTGCCCGCGTGAGCTTTTGAAATTGACCCATGACGAAGAGTTGACCCAGGGTAGGGGATGGAGACCTCTGGGTGTCGCAGATCGAAGCACGCAGTGTCTCCGAGGTGTGCGCGCCGCCTCGGGCCCTCTGCCCACACCTCGGGGCGGCGGCGGTGGGGCCACAGAGGAGGCATCGCCCAGGGAAGGGAGAGGAGGGAGGAGGAGCGATCCTGAGGTGTGTGCGGGGGGGCGGCAACTTAGTTTGCCCTGGAGACGACAGGGCCGTTTTTGTTACCGCTTCCGTTTTGCTGTTTTTTTGCCGGTTCCGACGCCGTTTTTTTGCTGGTTCCGTCGCCGTTGTTTGACCGGTTCCGGCTCCGGTTCCAATCCTGGAGCCGCTTTTTTGCCCTTTCCGGTCGCCGTGTTTTTGCCGTTTCCGTTCTCAAGGGGCATTTTTTGGGGGGAAGCGGTGAAAAAACGGCCCTGCCGTTTCCGGGGCCCACCAGGGGCGGCAAGTCCTAGAGGTCACGACGCAAACACCAAGGACCACCGCTTTTGGGGTTCTGGAGGGGCTCCGGTTGTCGGGCAGAGCCTTAAGATCTACAGGTGGGGGGGGCACACCGCTGCGTGGCCGAGGCTCGCCCTGCCCCAACAAAAGTATCCCCGTGCGACCCGGCCCAGGAGTTGGAGGATCTAGGAAAGCAACACCCATATGAAGCTAAGTTAGGCTAAGATGAAGCTAAGCCAAGATGAGATAAGCTAAGCTAAGATGAGATCAGCAACGCTAAGCTAAGGGAGCGTCACTCGGGGAACCGCGGGGAGGATACTGGGGGAACCGCCCAGGGCGAGTTGCACTGCCCGGCCCTTAAGCAGACCGAGTAAGAACCCTTCTAGGCAGAGCCTAGGTAGGGCAAAAACATCCCCTCCGTTCCCGTTTCGGCTCTCCGCAAGATCGCACGGTGGCGGCAGGGCTGCAGACAGACAGCCACAGGAGAGGCACCGTCTGGGCTCGACCGGATGTTCCCGCAGTCAACCTCGTTGTGAGGATGGGCAGACTTCCCAACGCTACCCTTGCATCCTTCCCTCCTCGGTCCATCTCGCCTCGCTCGCAAAGTGTCGGAACTCGCTCGCAAAGTGTCGAAACGGCCTTCCAAGGCCCACGCTTTATGATACGGGTCGACTGCATGCAATTTCGGCACATCGGCCATTGTCTGTTCCGACCTGGGGTTGCGCTGTTGCGCTGTTGGGGCGCGTGTGCTCATCCGCCAGCGCCGGGCCTCATTGCCCTGCCGGTGGCGGCAGGGCCGAGCGGTTGCCGTGGACGGCAGAGTCCAGACAGCCCGCGCACAGCATCGAGTCGTCGTCCTCTCGCTTTTGACAGGGCCCCTGGGTGGTCGGGGAGTCCTCCACACTTCAACGGCCACGTCGCTCCGCCTCCAGGGGCGTCGTCGGAGGCGGCGTCGGCGGTTGGGGTTAATGGGGCCACCATGGTGCGCGCCCTGGGGCCGTCTGTGCGCAGCCTCAGGGCTTGCAGAGGGAGGAGGAGGGTGGGGGGGGATGTAGCAAGCGAGGGTGAGGACGGGAGGGACAGGGTGGACGGGAGGGACGGGGGGGAGGTAGCCATACCAGAGAAGGAGGAAGGAGGAGGAGGAGTGAGACGGGAGGCGGATCAGGCACGAGGGTGATGAGTGACAACGGAGGAAGGAGGAGCGGGCGGCCTGCCGCTTCTTACCGCACATTCCCTCAGGATCCCATCGCAGGGGGCACAACACACACACACACACCACCCTAAACCCCCTCCGCATCCTCAGCCCCTCCTCCTTATGTTTATGTTCCCCTTCCTCGTTTATTTTGCTCCTGCTGCTCCTCCACACGTGCCTGCGTTTCCAAGAGTTGCGTTCCATGGAAGCCTCTGGCCCCTTCGATCCCTCCCCCCCTCTTCCTCCCCTCCCTCTCCACATCCACATCCCCCACATCCCTACCCCTCGTCCACACCCCCTGCATGGTCCATTCAGTCCCTCCCCCTCCTTCCCCCGTCCCTCCTCCCCTCCTCCTCCTCCTCCTCCCTCCTCCCTCCTCCCTCCTCCCTCCTCCTCTTCCCTCCCCCTCCAACCTCCTCCCTCCTTCCTCCTCCCTCCTTCCCTCCTTCCCTCCCCGCCGAGGGGAGGCGGAGCCGCAGCGGCTCCGCTCCGCGGGGACGCCTCCGCCCTACGCGCCCAGGTCCGGCGCCGCGTGAGCAGCAGGCTCACGCCAGCGCTCGCTGCGGGCGAGGGGCGGCCGCCGGAGGCCCCCCTTGGGGGGCGGGAAGCAGCACCTTCTCCCGGGCCTCCTCCTCCTCCTCCTCCTCCTCCTCCTCCTCCTCCTCCTCCTCCTACTCCTCCTCCTCCTCCTCCTCCTCCTCCTCCTCCTCCCTCCTCCTCCTCCTCCTCCTCCTCCCCCTCCTCCTCCTCCTCCTCCTCCTCCTCCTCCTCCTCCTCCTCCTCCTCCTCCTCCTCCTCCTCCTCCTCCCTCCTCCTCCTCCTCCTCCTCCTCCTCCCCCTCCTCCTCCTCCTCCTCCTCCTCCTCCTCCTCCTCCTCCTCCTCCTCCTCCTCTCTCCTCCTCCTCCTCCTCCTCCTCTCCTCCTCCTCCTCCTCCTACCTCCTCCTCCTCCTCCTCCTCCTCCTCCTCCTCCTCCTCCTACCTCCTCCTCCTCCCCCCCTCCTCCTCCTCCTCCTCCTCCTCCTCCTCCTCCTCCTCCTCCTCCTCCTCCTCCCCCTCGCACGAGCAGCAGCAGACCTCCACCCCAACCCCCAACCCGAAGGCCTCACTTTGCCCTCCATTTCCAGCGGGGGGGGGGCGGGGAACGCTGAAAAATCACGTGGGTCCCGTACCCCCCGCACCCACCAAACCACCCCCAATCCCAACCCGAAGGCCTCACTTTGCCCTCCATTTCCAGTGGTGGGGGGGGGTCGGGGAACGATGAAAAGTCACATGGATTCCGTACACCCCCTCCCAACCCGAAATTCGGGTCAAGTTCGGGTCTTCGGGTTGGGCTGGGGTGGTCTGGTAGGTAGTCAGTGAAGAGCGCAGCAGTCGGCGCAAAAGACTGCCCAAGGAGGGGGGCGACAACCGCGCGGTCGCTCCAGGAGGGGAGCAAAAACACACACAGACGCAATGCATCGTCGACTCCCAGGAAGATAGGGGAAACTAGGGGAAGTGGGGGGGGAGACGAAAATCCAGACACTATGGAAACATATGGGGAATCCTGGAATTTGTGTGTATTCATGTGTGCGTCCTTGGGCCCCTTGGGAAGGGGGCGACCACCGCGCGGTCGCTGCCGAGCGCACGGCTCCGTGCACAGGGCTGCGCTGGCCTCTCGCCGACGCCTGCAGGGCAAGCAGCCCCTCGCTCGGCGCGCAGTGGGCGCAGATGTCTTTGAGCCGGGGCACTCTGCGACAGTCTACCCGCCCAGGAAGGATGGGCACCCTTCCCGAGGGCTCCTCCTCCTCCGCCTCCTCCTCCTCATCATCCTCCTCCTCCTCCTCCACCTCCTCCCGCTCCTCCCCCCCCTCCTCCTCTTCCCCCTCCTCCTCCTCCTTCTCCTCCTCCTCGTCCTCCTGCTCCTCCTCCTCCTCCTCCCCCTCCTCCTCCTTATCCTCCTCCTCCTCCTCCTCCTCCTCCTCCTCCTCCTCATCCGCATCCTTCTCCTTCGGCCCATCCTGGGCGACCTTCGCTGGCCAAGCTCGCTCGAACACACGTCCACATAGGCCTCCAGGGCCCTTGCGTCCATAAAGTCGGGGCCCTGAAGAAGGAGCCCTTTTCGTTGGGGAGGGGATCGGTGTTCCTTGCTTGTTCTGCAGTGTACCTTCGGTTCTCATGAGGTTTCCCATGGGAAATCGAAGTTCAACCTTATTTAGGGTTCCTTAGGTCAACGCCCCGACTCTACCGCGCATCCTTTTGCGACGGGTCGAACAAAGTGAGCGGCCCCAGGACCCGGGCCAGGCCGCACGAACACGGGCATTGATATGGTGATGCGTGTTGCTTCCGCAGTCGAGAGGTCCCAATGCATGAAGCTGCACGCGGTCCCTGCCAGGATCCACCGCGCCCGCACCCTCCGACCAGGCTGGGACAGCGCCAGAGGTGCGCGTCAGCACCGCCTCCCCAAAGTCGGGGAGAAGGCAGAATCGAATATCGAGGAGGCTGCGGGCGTTCCGTTTTCGCGTCTGTGGGTCGTGAACGGTTCTGGGGGGCTCAGGGCGGTCCGTTTCCTGGGGGAGTCGGCGACCAGCTCAGTGGTGAGCCCCTTTGGCATGGTGGACCCCGAACTATAGCCATGGGCAGAAACACATGATGCAGATGAGCGAGCGCATGATGCAGGTGAACGAGCGCATCGACAACTGCGCGCGTTTCGCCAGGCTTCGACAGTTCGCCTGAGCGGGAATGTCTCCGCCTTGTTCATCATAGATGATGTTTGTGTGTTCCCCGATGCGCATTGGCTCTCCTCTGTGTGACATGGATAGCTTGAGCATGTTACCTAGACCATTTAGTTGGCCGCCAGCTTCCATATGTATTGGATGGCCGTGAGTTGAGTGCCGTGGGGTTCGCGTCGCACGGCGTTCAGACGAGGCCTCATTCCATGGGTGATCATTACAGTAGCCATTTGGGCTCAAGCTACTTCTCTGGCCAAAGCGACCATGGACGAGCCGAAAGGCTGTGTACACACGAGCCAGGTGCTGTACTTCTGGTAGCACGCCCAGGCGGCCCATGTCAGCAAAGGCCGCCCCTCTATCCGATTGCGCTGCGGCTCCTGAATCACCCTTGAAGCTCCTCCTGTGGCCAGAATTCCCATGGAAGCGTCAAGAGCACATACGCGCATACTTCTTATCGAACGTATTCTTGGCGATCGGGGATGTGTTTATTGCTGCTCAGCTGTACAGTCAATCCGCCTACTGCTTTGGCAGTGCCTTCTGGATTGTCGGGTGCGTGTGCTGGGCATACAGCCCCGCGAAGGTGCTGCTCGCATGCCCGGATCCGCTCTCGCTCAAGAGAGTGCGCACCGAGTGGAGCTTGCTGCTCGGCATCGTGCTCTGGATGGTCGCGTGCGCGTGGTGCTTTCTTCCGAAGACGGGGAGCAGCCTTTTCGTTTTTGCCGATGGCATCTTCCTCGTTGGGTCCATCTTGATGTTTATTTCAACAGCCTGTGAGATGAGCGACAGGGTCGGGGAGTTCCCTCCAAGCGGCTGGCTAGGCAAGACGAGGCCACCAAGCTTCCTGGCGGACTTCCTGTCGTCCTGCTTCTACGTTGCGGCTTCCGTGCTCGAGATGCACAAGGACTCCGCCAGTATTGAGCAGCTTGGGCTGTGCATGTGGCTCCCTGGGTCGCTGCTTGGCCTCTACTCGGCGCACGAGCTGCTCCGGCACAAGATGGAGGACAGCGGCGCATGCTCGCGCCACGAGTCCCCTTGGGAGTACTTCGCCGGCCAAGAGCACTTTCGTGCATGGTTCTTCGGAACAGCATCCCTATCACTCGGTTCTGCATGCTTTCCCTTCAAGCTGTACCTCGAGTGGTGCCTCTGGCTCGGCTACGGCTTCTGGATTGTTGGCTGCGTATGTTTTACGCATTGCCCCTTGAAGGAGATGATCTCTGGCCCCGATCCGTTCTCGGTGGAGAGAGCGTGCAACGAGTGGTGCAAAATCTTGGGTATGATATGCTGGATTGTTGGCTGCTCCTGGTGCTTCCCTCCGTCGACGCGTGACATTCTGCGCCTCGATGCCGATCGCTTGCTCCTGGTCGGAGCAATCCTCGTGCTCATCCCAGCAGCTTATCAGATGCTCGATCGTATCGGGGAGGTGCTGCCCAGCCGTTGGCCAGGGAGGGCGAGGCCACCGGGCTTCGTGGTGGAATTCCTGGCGGCCTGCTTCTTCACGGCGGCCGCCCTCCTCGGAACCTCCGCCTCCCACGGCCTCGTGCAGCTGGGGCTGTGCCTGTGGTTCCCGGGAGCGGCGCTCGGCTTCTACACGGCGCACGAGCTGCTCAAGCGGAACACGGAGGAAGGCAGAAAGTAATTGTTTCAAGAGGAGGGCGAGTTGAGACAGCGGTATTTGGCCTTTCGGGCGGCCGTTTATTCGCGACAGCTGGATGCAGCTCGGGAAACTGGTGCGCTCGGACCCCCGGGGGAGGTCCAGGGACTGGTTTTGAGCTGCCGTTGTCTCAAGTCACTCTGCTCCGATTAATCACTGCACCTGCCTTCGCTATCGATGTGCATCAACTCGTTCCAGTAACCCACCTTTTTGCAAACCGTAGGAAACATAGCAGAAGTGTCATGTCGATCGTCCCTGGGACTTCGAGGGAGGAGGACTTGTGAGAGGACTATGGGGAGATATGACATGGCGAAGATTTCTGATGAGGACGAGGAGAGGGGATGAAGAGGGAGCATCAGGAACGATGAGGAGGATGAGGAGGCGAGAAGTGATGGCCACGAAGAAGGCGTAGCAGCAGCAGCAGCAGCAAGCGGAGACGAAGAAGAACAATAATGAGCAGGAGGAGGCGATGATGCTGGGCGGTGTGGGCTGCGACGTTGACCAGGAGGAGCCGGAGGAGATGCACTTCGGAGGAGGCGGAGGAGCTGCGAGGGCGACGGGAGCGAGGGGCAGCCTTCCGACGCCGCAAGTCTTGCACTGCGCGCGGGACCCGGCGCCCCCCCCCGGCTCTCGGCACCGATCCTGGAGACAGCGCTCCGCACCGCCGTCCGGCGGCCCCGAGGCCGGGCAGCAGGGTCCCTTGCGATCCGGGAGATCCGAGTCGACATACAGTCTGGGCCCTGAAGAAGAAACCCTTTTCGTTGGGGAGGGGCTCCGCGTTCCTTAAGTGCTTCCCAGCTTGCCTCGGGTTTTCCTTATGTTTTCGATCGGGAATCGAAGTTTAACTTATGGAAAAAAAGACGCCTCGTTCCTTATTTTGGGTTCCTTAGGTCAAGGCCCCGACTGTAAGCTTCGGCCGTCCCGATCCGCTCTGATGCGCTCCGGCTCCGGTCGTCCAGCGGCCCGACGTGGACCGATGTCAGCACCGCGTCGTTGTGCAGCCCGGCGCGGCCGATCTGTGCGGCTCCGGCACCGTGTGGGTGCGGCCCGGTGCGACGCAGGCTCCGGTCCGAGCCGGCTTCCCGGTTCGATGCTGACGGATCCTGGAGGGCGGTTCCCAGATGGCGAACGTGAGAAGAGAGAGAGAGAGAGAGGAGATGAGACGAGCAACAAATCAGAGCGTGAATTACCTACCCCGCTTTCGCTTCCAGGCAAAACCAAGTCATACCACGCGCCTCCTCGTCAAGCGGCCTGACCAGTACAGGCCGTAGTTTGGCATCGCTTGGTATCTCTTGGAAGCGAGGGTGGTCAAAAGCGAGGTAGGTTAGTTTGCCCCTAACTGACGGATCCTGAAAGGCGGTTCCCAGATGGCGAACGTGAGAAGAGAGAGAGAGAGAGAGGAGAGGAGAGGAGACGAGCAGCAAGTACAAGTTGAGATTGGCCTTTCTCGAGTTCGGGGAGTTCTTGGGTTGGTTGATGTCGGCATGACCCAAACAGATGCATATGTTTGACGCTTCGCGCATCCCCACCAGTTGTTTCCTCCGCGCATCGTCTCGTCCACCCTGGGCCTATCCGCCGCAGGCGCCAGACTCGATGCGCTTTGGTTGCCGCTGGCCCCCCCCCGGCTGGGCGGAGGATTCTGAGGACTGAGCGCTGAGTGGTTCGGCCTTCCGCGCTCGCGTTGCCTCGTGTTTTCCACCGCCTTCTGCCCGGCTTCCCTGGTTCTAGTTTCCCAACCAGCTGGGCTGGTGGCCTGGAGTTTGGCGCCGTACCGGCGACTCACTCCGCTGCATTCGCACACTCTGCAGCCTGTCCACTTCGGTTCACACTGCGGCGCCCATGTGCGTTTGCTTGTGAATTTGGTTCATTTTGTTCTGTGCATGTGCAACTGCGCGCTTGTTGTGCAGGTGCGAACCGGCTTGCCAACGTGGCGGCGGTGTTCGCAAATCCGCATCGTGCCGCATGCCCCGGACTTTGCCTCTCGCCGCCAGACTGTTGTCACGCGGCCGCGACCAAAAAAGCACCCCCACCAGCCCATCTCGAAACAGATCGCCAGGCGAGTGGCCTTGATCAGGGCAGTGTAGAAGCATGCGATGTAACAACCTCCTGAGGAGCGTTTTCTCGGAGGTCTCTTGGAGCCATTTTGGGGCTTTCCGATGGGTCCTCTCAGAGCATCTTGGGGCACTTTTGGGGCTCTCTTGGGGCTTTCTAGGGGCCCTCTGGGGGCTCTTTGGGGGGGTCTGGGGGGCCTTTTGGGGGCGTCCTGGGCCCCATTTGTCAAAGAGATGGGGGTCGCGGATTCACAACATGATGTCTTGATGCCCTCTTGGGGCGCTCTCGGGGCGTTTTTGGGCGTTCTTGGGGCCCTCTTCGGCCCCTCTTGGGGATGTTTTGGGCCGTCTTGGGACCATCTTGAGGCCTCAAGAGCCCATCGGAAGCGACTAGACGAGAAGGAAAAATACACTGACTGTACATCGGTTGACGGATGTTGGCCTCTGGGCTGGGTCATTGGAGGACTCGGAGGGCACACGAAATTTGGCCTCTTGGTAGGGTCTTCGGAGCGTTCGGAGGGCACTTCGAACCGTCTTGGGGCTGTTTTGAGGCCCCTTGGATGTGTGTCGGAGGTTACCTTGAATCATCTTGAGGTATATTGAGCCATTTGGGAGGCTATCTTGCGCTCCCAGAAGCCCTCTTGGAGGCATTTTGCGCCATCTCGGGCGCTGTAACTACCCCGCCCCCCTCCCCCTCTCAAAGGCCCACGGGAGGGGCCGGGGGGAGGGGCGAACCCTTCCCCCGAGCAGGGGAAGATGGGCCTGCTGGAAGATAGAAGGCAAGAGTTCGTTAAACCACCTGCGGCTAGAGGCTACTTAGAGGCTTCAAGATCTTAGGCGCACTTACGAGCTACCTATAGCTGGGTGTAAGTTACTTCTGTTCTGTGTTAAGTAACAGTATCTGTTGAGTCTGTTCCCTAACTAAGGGCATCTGTTTTTAAGTGCTTCTCTTGCGAAAAAAACTTACGTGCGCTACTTCTAACTATTTTCCATCCATCGCCGAGCGGGGTAAGTTACATATATGTACTTGTAAGTTACTTAACACATTTCAGGCACCATCACTTAGTATTACTTATAAGTTACTTATAGGTAACTTGTAAGTTACCTCCTTCCCTCCCTCCCTCCCCCTCCCTCCCTCCCTCCTCCGCGCCGCGCCGCGCGCCCGCGCCGCGCGCGCGCAAAAGGAGTGAATTGGGGGAGGTAGCGATGGCGATCGCTTGCATGGGGAAGGAGGAGGAAGAGTTGGGGAGGTAGCGATGGCGATCGCTTGGGGAAGGAGGAGGAGGAGGAGGAGGAGGAGGAGGAGGAGGACGAGGAGGAGGAAGAGTAGTGGGGGAGGCAGCGATGGCGATCGCTTGGGTAACGATGGACGCGGTGACGCGCATGATGACGATAACGACGATGACGATGACGACTACTACGGCGACGATGACTACGATACTGGCCATACTGACGACACTGACAACACTGACGATGATGATGATGACGACGATTGCCGACGATCCTGACGATGATGACGACGACTACGGCAATGATGGTGACGTCGCTGATGATGACGATGACGACGTTGATGATGATGATGGCGACGACGATGGTGATGATGACAGGCGATGACGATGATGGCGATGATGATGACGATCATGATGATGATGATGACGGCGATGATGACGGCGATGATGATGATGGCGACGAGGCTGCCTCAGACGACGGTGACGACGACGATGGCAGGAACTCGCCCAGGACTCCAGAACAAGGACTTCCTTGTGTTGGAGTTGAGGCTATCCACCCTATGGGTGAGAGGACGGCGCCCTCGTCGTCGTCGAGGTTGGTTTGAGGAGGTTTGGGGTTCTTGAGGTTTTGGGTTTAGGTTTTGGATTCTGGTGGTTTTGGGTACGTCGAAGTTGTTTTGGTGAGGTTTTGGTTTCTGGATGTTTTAGGTTTACGTATTGGGTTCTCTCTCCCCCGTCCCCCATCATCTCTCCAGTCCCCCATCATCTCTCCCGTCCCCCATCAACTCTCCCGTCCCTCATCGCCTCTCCCGTCCCCCATCGTCTCTCCCGTCCCCCCCTCGGGTGATGCAGGAGGTTGGGGCCTCTCGGAGGCGCTTTCGGCCCGCTGGACGGGCGTTCTTGGGAGCGATGGAGATCGCTGGGGCGAGCGGGGCGTGGCTTGGGAGGTAGCGATGGCGATCGCTTGGGCGAAGGGGCGAGGGGGGGCGGGGGCGGGGGCGCACGGGGAGGTAGCGATGGAGATCGCTTGGGCGAGGAGGGCGTGGATTGGGAGGTAGCGATGGCGATCGCTTGGGCGAAGGGGCGAGGGGGGGGAGGTAGCGATGGAGATCGCTTGGGCGAGGGGGGCGTGGATTGGGGGGTAGCGATGGAGATCGCTTGGGCGAGGGGGGGCGTGGATTGGGAGGTAGCGATGGAGATCGCTTGGGCGAGGGGGCGAGGGGGCGGAGGTGATGGGGGGTGGTGGTGGGTGGGTGTGGGGTGGGGTGGGGGTGGGGGTGGTGGTGGTGGTGGTGGTGGTGGTGGTGGTGGTGGTGGTGGTGGTGGTGGTGGTGGTGGTGGTGGTGGTGGTGGTGCGGGGGTGGGTGGGGGCGCTGGGAAATAGCGATGGCGACCGCTTGGGCGAGGGGGAGTGTATGGGGAGGTAGTAGCGATGGCGATCGCTCGGGAGTGGGTAAGGAGGATGGTATAGAGGAGGGGGTGATGAGGCGGAGGATGAGGCTTATTCGACCAGAGAGCGGATGGAAGTGGTGGATTGGGTGAAGAGCATCAGGGAGGGGGAGGGTTGGGGAGGGGGGGGAGTCGGAGGCGGTGGAGGGCAAAGCGATCTCGATCGCTGCGCGGTCATTGCCGCTAGCTTAGCCGTCCACTGGTTAGCCGTTGCTGGCCCTGGCGGGTGCGCGCGCCCCCGTTGCCGCCGCGCTAGCATCGTGGCGGCCATCGCGCTGGTGGAGCAGCTGAAGGCCGCCGCATCGTTCCTCACTCAGCTTGAGAAGGGGAGCAATGCATATAAGGAGGTCGTGACGGCGCAGTGCTGCATGGCGATGAGCGTTATGGAGCCGTGGACCTTCGTCTCCGCCGAGGACTCGGCCGCGCTGATCTTGCAGATCGGCAAGATGCCATTCGGCAAGAAGAAGATGGCCATGCTGCTCGGCCGCATCACGGAGTTAGCCACAACGTCGGCGAATCTGTTGGTTGCCAACGCTGCCGCGGGCGCAGAGCTGATGTCGGTGACCAGGACGCCCATGCAGGACTTCACGTCGATCACACCATACCTGACGGCGGCGCAGTGGGCGGACATACTGGATACGGACAGCGACTGCATGGGCCGAGTTGCGGTCATGATGCAGGCGTGCAAAAAACTCGGGTTGCGCACGTTGCATGGGCCGACGATCCAAATGGTGACGCGCACCGCCCTCGCGGTGGAGGGCTTCGAGCGGGCAATGCGCCAGCCCCCGTTGGCCCTGTTCGGCTATTTCAAGAGGGCGAAATCGTGCACCAAGAAGCTCCCCCCGTGGAAGGAGTGCAAGCGCCTCGCCGAGGTGGGGCCGTCGTTCGTCGATAAGCTCCCCGCGGACACGGTTGCCATGCGGAGGGCGCACCGAGACGTCTATTCTCGCGTGTACGCCGAAAGTGGCGATGTCCCAGTCAAGTGCCCGCTGGACGTCACCCAGCTGCTCGTGTTGAGCGACGCTGTCCCGATGCGGGAGAACAAAGCCCGCCTGAAGAGCTCTCCTGAGCAATCGAGTGTCGACATGGCGCTGCAGCTCGCCGACAGGGCGATTGCGCTGAATCGCGGGCGCGAGGGCGGCGGTGCGTTGCGCGACCGCGACGTTCCCTTCAGGCGATACACGCCCAACCAGGCCGAGCCGCCGCCGCTCGCCGACGCGGCGCCCGCGCCCGCCGCGTCGGCCGATGCCAAGACGCCGTCGAAGCACAGCGTGGAGGAGGCAAGGGACAAGATCTACGCGCAGCTGGGGGGCAAGACGCCGAGCGTGTCCCACAAACCGCCGTCGCTGAGCGACAGCGAGTCGGATGACGACGGCAGCGACGACGACTCCGACTCCGAGAGTGGC